GGCTTGTTTGTCTCTGCATCTCAAAAAGTGCACAGTCACAATGTTTTGTGTTTGTTCTGTTTGTGCTTTGCCTTTTTTAGGTTTAGATCATTCCAGATATTGAGAGTAACAATGGCATATCTCAACATTCGACTTACTCGTTTATCATTCTTTCCATTGGTCTGTCTGTACAACAGACATATTCTGTACTTCCCCTGAGTTCATTCAACAATAAATGTGTTTAATCAGCTTAGTTGATGATAAGAGTTTCTGTTCAATCATCCAGTGGTAGAGGAATTTAAAGTAATATCTCTCTGATATTATAATTTTATTTTATTCAGGAGCACATGAAAGCTGAATTTGTGTTCAGTTCTATACAATCGGGGTTTTGCTGTTGCAGCTTTATTTGGTCAATTAGCAGCAGCTTCATTATTTATACCTCACTAGTACTGGGTTGGACCCCCTTTTGCCTTCAGAATTGCTTTAATTCTTCGTAGCACTGATTTGGCAAGGTGCTGGAAACATTACTCAAAGGTTTTGGTCCGTGTTGACGTGATAGTGTTGTTTAAATTGATCAGTTGGTACCGAGGAGCCCAGAGTGTGCCCAAAAAATACACCTCCACCACCTCTGAGCCTTTGATACGAGACGGGATGGGTCCATGCATTCACGTTGTTTATGCCAATTTCTAACTCTACCATCCAAATGTTTCAGCAGAAATCAAGACTCGCCAGCGGGCAACTTTTCTTCTTCTTCTTCTTCTTTTATTGTCCAATTTTGGTGAGCCCTGTGCAAAGTGTAGCCTCAGTTTCCTGTTCTTAGCTGACAGAAGTGACGCCCACTTTGGTCTTGTGCTTGCTGTAACGAGTGGTTATTTTAGCTGCTACTGCTTTCCTGTCAGCTCGAAGCAGCCTGGTCATTCTCCTTTTGAGTTCAGACATCAACAAAACATTTTCATTTCGAGAACTGCTGCTCACTTCTCATTTTCTGACCATTTTCTGTAAACCCCAGAGATGGTTATTCAGCCATTTCTGAAACACTCAAACTAAAGCACCTTTCTGTCTCAATCTGTTTCTCACTTTTGAACTGTATGGCAGGCCAACACAGAAAATGACATATTAAATATTTAATTAAATGTGTAGTGAATTAATTTCAATTGGAAATGAATAAATATTTAAATAATTAAACATCTGTTCATTTCATTTATAAGAATTATTTCCAATTTCAATGAATAATGAAATTTAATTCTTTAATTTGTATGTAATTTATTTTGGCACTTGTGGCCCTCTATACATTTTCTTGTTGTGTTTTACTCTCTCTTTTGATAGCGTGTTTTAATTGCTGCACAGTGCTTTGTAACTTTTATGTCAATGGCTATTAAAATAAACTTTACTTACGTACTAAACTATATTAGTGGTATGCAAAAAGGAGTGTATCGACTTCTTATGTAACCTGTCCTGCCAGTGACCTACACTCCCGCTTCTTCCACCAGGAGCCTCGCGTTGTGAAGGAATTCGTCTTTAACACACTCACTGTGCTCTTTATAGTGTCCACTTAGTGTGGTCTGGGAGTACTTTGTTGAGATTGAGATGTTACTCCAAGCTGAAAACAGGTGGTGAACAATTGCGCAATCGAAGCCCTAAAAGATGCAATTAACGCCTTTTGTAGAAAGAAAAGTTGGCTAATGTGTGTAACAGATGTGTTGTCCTACAGTGTAAGATGGGCGCGTAAAACCTCTCCAGAAAATATTTAACCCACCCTGTCAAAACCGGCCTGGGTTATGTTTAACTGGGGCACAGAGGAATGGAGTTTTGCTTCCACTCAGGTTGCAGTTCTCGCTGTCGGACACTTGGTGCTGCTGCTTGGGAAGCAGCTGTGTAGCAAACGAGGGGGGGCGGCCACGGCGGTGCGACGTGGAAAGGCAGAACAGCATTCTGGTGTTGTCTGATGGTAGAGATTAAACTCCAGCGACCCAATGAGAACGCACACCGTCCCGGATCTCAGTAGGAGCTAACGCTGAAATGAAAGCAAAGGGACGAACCGGGTAAATACTTGTGTTAGGAAGAAGTCGTCGCCATGGACGGAGGGCTGATTATTACATTTATATCTGTGGCGATGTTTGTAGGCTCCTTGATCCTTGGATTCATCCCACTGTTGTTCAGACTGTCTGAGGTAAGTGATTTCCCACAGTCTTTGTTTATAGCGGACTATCTGGATCTACTTCATCTTGTCTTATTTGTCGTGCCCTCATAATGCGCAAGGCTGTTGTTTTGGAAACTTGCTGAACAACTAGAACTTGTGAGGGGAATCTCAGTCATCTGCTGAAATCACGTGTCTTAACCCTAGAAAAGCCTGCAGTTCGTTTCCATCCTGGGGGCAGGTCTGCTGTGTGGGACAGCGCTGGCCATCACCATCCCAGAGGGAGTGGGTTTGCTGGAAGACTCGTGGAAAGGTGAGCAGGAAAGCTCAAACATGCACATGAAAACGAAGCAGAATGGTTGCTGTGCAAGCTTTGTGTTTATGTGGGTGTGCTAACCCACCAAATTTGCATGTGTTTGATTGTAGCCTCCAGATGTTTGATGAGGCAGGTGGGAGATGAAAATGCTGCTCTCTGTAAAAACAACAAAAACAAGCTTATCAAAAGCTCTTTCTGTTCTTCATCTTCCGTCTCCAGCGTCATCCTCTGATGTGTCATCCGGTCTAAATTCCAGTAAAGAAAATGGGACACTTACTCACATGGCAGAGAGAGGCCTCCCACCTCGGTTCCTCATTGGGGTGGCTTTGACGCTCGGGTTCACCTTCATGTTTGTCGTCGATCAGATAGGAAGCTACCTTTCCACACGCGGCAAGTTGTCAGAACTCTCACGCCAGCTTTACATTGCAGAGCGTTGCCTCCACAGATTTGTTAACCACCTCAGCGTGTGCGATGTCTAATTTCAGACCGGACGACTTGTTTGTCCAACAGCGTCCACCTCACGGCCACGTTGGGCCTGGTTATTCACGCTGCAGGTACGTGACACAGCCAAACCTCTCCTCTGCATATTTATTCTCTTGCTTTTGCTTGAGACGCACTGTTTCGCTGGCTTCGAGGACACAGGGGTGGAAAGTTTACAAAGAAACGTTCCTTATGCCCCCGTGTGACTCGGCATGTGATTCTGCAGCACAGCCTGCAGGATCTAACTTTAAAGTTATTTAAACGGGGACAACCAAGCTTGACAGCAGTCACAAATCAAACAGCAATCATCCATGATGCAGATCTTAAAGACCAGAGACCCATACAAATCCCCATAAAAGAAGTAGCTGCACCATCACAGTAATAATCTCTTTGTTTGCTTTTAGCTGATGGATTTGCTCTGGGTGCTGCTGTGGCTACAGGTCAAGTGACCGTACAAGTTGTAGTGTTTTTTGCTGTGATTCTGCACAAGGTGAGAGAACGTCTCATTGAAATGAACAGATGTCTGGGTGACGAGCACGATGCCATTGACCGTCTTTCCCGTCTCCTGTTTAGGCGCCCGCCGCTTTTGGCTTGGTCTCCTTTCTGATGCACGGTGGCCTCCAGAAGAAGTTCATTCAGGGACACTTACTGGCCTTTTCAGCTGCAGCGCCTATAGTTGCTATTGCCACTTACTTCATATTACATGCAGTAAGAAAGCACAATCTGACAGTCGTGTCTGCTTGAAAGGAAATTCATTAAATCCCAGTGACTAGACGGTTGCTGTTTCTGAATTATTTAACTTGATGTGTGCTGTGTCTGCAGTCTGGAAGCTCATCTGAGAATCAGCTCAGTGCAACAGGAGTGGGAATGCTCTTCTCAGCGGGGACGTTTCTCTATGTGGCCACGGTGCATGTTCTCCCTGAGATCAGCAGCAGCAGGACTGATGAGCTGCCCTTGGACTCCGAGCAGCAGTCTGGAGCCGAAGCCCACCAGCAGAGACACTTGGGGCTCCTGGAGAGCCTCACCCTCATCATCGGTGTGGGGCTTCCGATGTTGCTGGCCCTCGGACTGCACGATGACTAAAAGAAAACATGAGGGCAATTTATTTTAAAAGGGGGTGAAAGGAAAACTCTGAGCACCTGTACTGTATGCCACAATGATCGGAAGACAAAATGGGCTTTGACAGAGTCTACCTTGGTCCTCTTATTTCAGTGTAACTTTGTGCCAGGCTGTTGTTTGGGTGTCATATGGCTTTCCAGGAGGTGATACAGAATCAGGTAACTAATATCTTTTCATAGCTGAATTGAGTTTCCATTCAGAGAAAGCAGAAACAGTTCTCATTTGTTTCCATGGTCCGCTGAAGGCATGTTGAGGTATTAAATATCCCGAAAGGTGAATAGATTTACAGGAACAACCAAATAATTCGATACTCTCTCACCTAGAAAATAAGGTCTCTAGGGCGTACACTTTATATTATTGTATTTTACGGCTAAGAGTTTGAAAATATGGCCGGATTTTCAGATTATAAATGTGCAATAATACAAACTACAAAGGGTTTTTTTATAATGTTGTTGGTCTGAGTTGGTTTATGGTGGGGATCGTGTCGAGTGAGAGGCAGCCTGGACAGGTTACCGTCTGTCTGCTGTCACAGAGGCACAACCAACTGTTCACACTCACAGCTGCAGCTAACGCTAATTTAGAATGATCTCTCTGACTCAGCGTTCATGCTTGTGCAGTGTGGAATAAGACTGGGACAAAACCAGGGACACGCGGAGAACATCCAAACACAGAAAAGGGGCAAAGGTTTGAACCTCTCAATGTGAAGTGGAAATAACTGCAGCCAAATGAGAAGACCAACCGGTAAACTGGTCCAGCAACTCTCATGTTAGGTGATACGTTAGACGGAGACGGGTTCCTGGCAGCAGGTGAGGTACGTATCAAGAACTATCAAGCAGATTCTGGAGGTTACAGATGTTTTACTGACTCACTGCCACTTAGAGCAATATTTACCTTTACTTTCCTTCCTTTCGTCTTTCAGCTCCTTTAGTGTGTGCAACATGTGAAATATTGAAACACGTGAAATGTCTTCTGGTTTTATAATGGCTTATTTATTTACTTGATTCTTTTTTGTTTTTGTCACACAACGCTGTAGATTGCAGCATCGACTGACCTAAAGCTTGTTTACTTATGTTTAACGTGTGGAGCAGAATTCCCCTTTTAACAGCTACACTAAATATCTTGAGATTGGTTTACTATAGAAAAACTATGAAATTAAAATTTAAAGTTAAGATATTTTACACTTAAATTTGTCCTTTATTCATTAAGCTCTAAACACAGTTCATGTATGAACCCATATGAAAACACATGCACAGGTTAGAGACCAATTAGGTTTCCATAAATGTAACCCATCTGCTCTACAAACCTTTGGAAGTGACCACAGAAGACATGACAAAGGAGTATTAGCCAAAAGGAAGGTTTTTGGGTTTATAAATGACAGGCCACCAAATACCCTGATTCAACCAAGGACTTAGATTTTAACTACTTTAAAAAAAAAACCCTTCTTTGTCTTTAAGGATGCCTTAAATCACTGTCTGTGGTTGATGCTGTCCAGTGTTGCTTATTTAAGTTTTGTTTCAGTCTGATAAATATGGATCGCATCCTGTTTCCTCCTACTGGTGGAAAATTCCACTCTGACCCTCGGTGGAAGCTTGCCATTGGTGAAACACCACTAGAAAAAAATCCGGTGTTTTTATGAACTCCCTGATCAGGGCTCATTTGCTGGAATTTCTTTTGTTTTTAAGTTGAATACCATGCCATGAGAATAAAGATTTCTTTAATATTGTCTGAAAAGAGAGTTCCTTGAAGTCCTTTGATGATTTGTCCTACATGTGACCCCAATTTGAATACAGGAAGTGCTCCCGTTTACAGTTCATGTAATTATTAAAAATGTGACATACATGATCACGCTGCTAATGGTGAAATCAAACATCTGTTATGGCCTACCATTAAAGTGATACAGCGTTGTTCTGTTTGAATCTTGCACATAATAAAAATCTTCAAGTGGTATAAAGATTTTATAACACACTAGCAGTGGTCAGACTAACAGGAAAACGGGCAACACCGTGGTTTAGCAAACATTAACTCTGGCCTCTCGTGTCTTCATAGCTCATTCAGAGCATTGGAGTAGGACTGCACTTTGATTCCTTTCCGACCTCTGCAGACTATCCCCTCCCCTCTTATTTGCAGTCTACTAACAGCTAAACGCTCTAGCCATCAATCTTTAAGTGCCGGATGGTTATATTTGTTGTCACTAGTTGAATGTGGGTTGCATATCATGTGTTACTACACAATCAATCTCATCTCAGGCTTAAGAACTAGCCAGGGGTCAAATATAAATGAATACACTGTTGTGAAGTACTGGACACAAATGGTTGAGGAAACACAATGGTGCCTGTAAAGTTTACCCTGACAGGAGGTCACTCAGAGGTCTTGCTGATCTAAGCAGTTAACCTCAACTAAATAAAATGAAATGAAACCGTTTGGAAGTCTTTGAAACTGTATCCCAGCTACTGCACTCTATCAAATAAAAAGTTGACTTTTTGGATTATTAAAATCACCAAATGTTTGTGTGTCTGTCATTACAATGGACAAAAATGATTTTTTAAGAACAGCTCTGATATGATGTTCAAGGGCCCTTGCATCTCGGGGACCATTTATAATGAGTTTAAATTCATTTACATTCAGAGTGCAGATAACAGTGATGTGTCTCAGTATTTCTGGAAGTCTCTGGAGCTATTATTTGACTGCAGTTCCTTTTCTAAGCAGCTCTGGGTGAGTGTACAGGTGCAAAACTGAGTCTGAATAGAGTTCACAGATTCATGCGGTTTAAAGACGCAGTCAGCTGAGCCTCAAGCGCCATCTGATCAAAGGTCCGGCTGTGCGTCTGCTGCCTCACTCTCTCCCTCATGTGAAAGGAGGCCCGAGCCAGCCTCTGGGCCTCCTCCTGTATCTGCTCTCGCTGCCTTCTCAGCCGCTCCCTCTTCTGCTCCTTTGTGGAGATGCAGCTCTCTCTGACTCTCCTTGCCGCCTCCTCCTCTCTCTGTAGTTCCTCTCTGAGCCTCTGGTGGCAGAGCTGCCTGTGTTTGTTGTTCTGCCGGGTTTGCTGAGCTCTGCGTCTGTGCTGCGCTGAGGCGTGCAGGGCGGCTCTCTCCATGCGTCTCTGGCTCAGCTGGACCAGGATCTGCTTGTGTGTGAGCTGCTGGACGCTCTGCAGCTCGGCCCTCAGCTGCACTCTTTGACTCATCTCCTCCTCCCGGGCAGCCCGCTCCCGAAGCTCTTCGAGTCGTGCCTCTACAGACTTGGCACGCCTTTCGCAGGAGTGCTGCAACTTCTTCTCCAGTGTGCTCCTCCTCTGCGCCTCCTCTTCCTCCCCCTGCAGCTCAACCTGGTGTTTCAGCAAGATGTGTCTCAGCAGCTCTTTATGGTTTTCCTTCTGCAGCCTCTTCCGCTCCCCCTTCTCCTTCAGCATCTTGCTCCTCAGGACCTTCTCCTCCTTCTCCGCTGCCACCTGTCTCTCCCTCTCTCGCTCCCTCTTCCCCGCCTCCTCCTTCTCGCTCAGCAGCTTCTCCTGGTAGCGTTTGCGCTCTTCCACCTCCTTCTGTGTACCCTCCATCTTTGCCCTGCGGTACACTTCCACCTCCTCTTTTAGCCTTCTCCATCGGTCTTCTTGCAGCAGCACCTCCTGCTTAAGCCGTTCTGCTTTCTCTTTTTCTCGATGCTCCCTCAGCTTCCTGCGGGCCTCCAGCTCCTCGTTCCAGCGTTTCATACTCCGCTTCAGCTTCTTCCTCCTCTTTTTTTCTGCCTGAACTTGCTGGGCCTCCTCCTGCCTGCGGGCCTCCTGTCGCTCCCATTCCTCCTGCTGGCTGAGCTTCAAACGAGCCTGTTCCTCCTCATGCTTCACCAGCATCAGAGCAGCTATCTTCTGGTCTCTCTCCGATACTGTGACACACATCTGCTTTTGGATGCTCTTGGTGAGCCTCTTCAGCTTCTTCTCGGTAGCTGGGGAGTGTATGAGGTCTCCCAGGTTGAAGCTGCACAATGTGCTCCTCTCTGGATCCCTTTTACTAGGAGCAGAGCAGGAGGACCTGCTAACAGCCTTCTTTTCAGAGCAGAGATCTGCATAGGGCATTTCTGTTGAGCGCTCTTCCAGTCTGGTGTCAGGCAACACCTCCAAGCCTGAGGCTTTACTGCTGCATGGCAGCCTGTCCCCGGCTGTCTGGATAATCCTCAGCCGTTCCTGGCCACACTTTTGTAAAGTCTTCAGCCTCTCCTTTTCATAAGATTCATGCACGACTCTCATTGTCTCAAACGGCGTGTCTTGTCGCTCAGCAATGAAGTCGTTTAGAGATTTAATTAGAAGCTGAACCGGTTTTACACCCAGCCGAGCGCAAGACTCAAGCGAGCGAGGGTTCGTTAAGACATGTCGGTTGCTCTCTGCTCCGGGAGAGTCGAAGTTGTTCAGGTCCAACTTAAGCACAGGGGAGCTGCACCTCAGCTCCTCCATCCTAAAACTAAAAAGCTAAATTAATGGATGCCAGATACGGAGGATACTGAGGCTCACAGGTGCTATACCGAGCAGCGCTTCCGCACGGTCTGCAGCACAGAGAGGTCAGCAGGGGATTAGCTACTTCCTCGCGGACAAATAACAGTCGGTATCTCATTAACCGTCTTTACCTCAGCTGTGAGCAATGACAGGCCGAATATAAACAAAAAAACAACTTTATTTAAGCAGACGGGAACGTGTTAAATAAACGCTTGCAGTCAAGCATGGATTTAAAAGTCTGTTGAGGTTTACAGGGATGTATTTATGCACAGATCACTTAGGATCCCACCAGAGTTTCATTCAGGTTTACTTTCCCTGGATCACTGCAACGTCTTGATTTTTTTTTCTAATTTTCCAGTCTCACTGGTCTGTTGCGTGACCCTGCTTCAGCCAAGCTTTAGCTGCTGACACAAACTAAAATCACCACCATGTTTATCAAAAGAGAAAGGTTTTAAAATGCTAAACTATATATAACTGGGACTCGGATGCGTGGCTCATGGGCTTTTGAATTTGCTGTTGCTGTTTGCTTTTGATGAGTTTAAATGATTATATATCCCTGCGTCACTGTATGTATGACAATGCAGTTTATCTGCAAAATAACAAGTGTTGTGGGATTTCTCTTTAGCGTATTGTCCTTTAATGTATTGTCTTGGTGAAATGCTTTCATGTTATTTAGTTTAGTATGTCTGGTTCACACCTCATTCATGCTGGGAAACAGACGGTGAGAAATCAAATTC